TAACATTAGCAAAATAACCTTTAGAGCAAAAAACATTATTAGAGTCAAAGAGACTACCAAGAAGTTTATAATAGTCCTGAATCTACACCTGACAACAGAGACTAAAAATAAATCTACATTTGACAGAATAACAAAAATAAGTTCCACCACCAACGGTAGATTTTTAATACCCTTTTCTCTGAAACTGATAGAGCTAGAAGAAAAAGATAGGTAAGGAGATACAAGATTCAGAAAATTGAAACACAATCCTTACCAAGGGCATGTGTGAAACATTCACTCTCCTAACATAGAGGGGATACACATTTGTTTAAAGTACATAAGTTACAGGGCGCCTGGGTGGCTCGGTAAGCGTCCAACCCTTGGTTTCATCTGAGTTCATGATCTCATGGGTTTGTGAGTTTGAGCCCTGCGGGGGGCGCTGCGCTGACATGTTATATTTACAAAAACACAAAGGGCACTAGTGCTTGTCTTCAAAACAGCCTCAATCAGGAGGCAACTAAGGAGACCATGAGAGAAGCCAGGCTAGGGTAGTGTGCAAACTGCAAGGAATGAAGTGTACAGAGGCAGCTATCAAAGGAAAACAAAGCAGGCTGCAACTCAAGGAAGGCAAGGGACAGAGTAGCCAGAAAAAGGAACTCTGGAGATGAGCCACAAGAAACAGCCACGGGTCTCATTAAACAGCCACACTCTCTCATTCAGTATACAATCAACAGAATTTTTAAATTAAAGTTCAGGATCCTATACTTGCCCTGTTGAATTTCAGCTTTGAATACTGAGGCCCCTATTGTATCTGCAAAGATCTTTTTGGATCCTGCATCTACTAATCAGGTGTTTAGTATCCTTCTGTGATGTGTATCATGTACGATGTTGACAAACATCTCTCTATAGAGATTTAAGTCAGGTAACAGTGCTGAAATAAGAGGGGGCCAAAGGAAAAAAAATATTACAATTGCCACTTAAAACTTTTCCTACATTATCTTTAATTCATTAATGGGCTTTTTTGGAGAGAATGTTTCATACTCATTTATGAGTATATCTAATTATCCATCTATTGAAAGCCATGTAAAATGGTTGTGCACCTTTTAGCCCTATGCAGAGGGTGATGGTGTGGTAAGGAACTGAGGCCAGCCTCTGTGATGGTAAGGAACTGAGGCCAGCCTCTGACCACTGGGGAATTGAATCCTGCCGATAACCACCTGAGTGAGCTCAGAAGCAGAAGCTTCTCTGGTCGAGCTTTCAGATGACCCCAGCCCTGGCTGACATTTTGAAGCTTTGTGAGAGACTGAGGCAGAGGACTCATCTAAGCTGCACCCTGACTCCTGACCTACAGATATCAAGATAAGAAATGTTGTTTTGGGGCGCCTGGGTGGCGCAGTCGGTTGAGCCTCCGACTTCAGCCAGGTCACGATCTCGCGGTCCATGAGTTCGAGCCCCGCGTCGGGCTCTGGGCTGATGGCTCAGAGCCTGGAGCCTGTTTCCGATTCTGTGTCTCCCTCTCTCTCTGCCCCTCCCCCGTTCATGCTCTGTCTCTCTCTGTCCCAAAAATAAATAAACGTTGAAAAAAAAAATTTTTTTTAAAGAAATGTTGTTTTAAGCCATTTAAAAAAAAAAAGTTATTTTAATCAATTCATTTCACCTCTGGGAATGTAGCCCAAAGAAATAATCTGAAATAAAGACAAAGATTAATAAGTAAATATACTCATTTATTCATTCAGAAGAATGTGTTGAGTACGTCCCATGATCTAAGCACTACGCCATATATCTTAAATAATATTTTTCAAATAATTACACTCATGGATATATAAGTACAAATAGAGATAGATGCTCTGAAAGAAAGGCAAACCATTCTGTGGTAGACTGAGGACATCTAGAAAGGATTTCCCAAGAAACAGACTTTTAAGCTAAGAATCAAAAGATGGATAAGAGAGGGGCGCCTGGGTGGCTTAGTAGGTTGAGCATCCAACTCTTGATTTTTGGCTCAGGTCATGATCTCACAGTTTTGGGATCAAGCCCAGGATCAGAGCCTGCTTAGGGTTTTCTCTGTCTCTTTCTTTGCCCCTCCCTTGTTCATGCACGCGTGCCCTCGCTCTCTCTCTCTCAAGATAAAATAAACTTTTTTAAAAAGAGCACAATTTTTAAAAAAAGACAAATACGAGGTATCTATGCATAGGAGAAAGGCTGGTGAGGAACATTCTGGGTGGAGAGAAAGGTATTTGCAAAGATCCTCTGATGCATGAAATGTTTAAGAAACCTAAAGAAAGTTATCTTTCAGTTATGTCGCTAAAAGCTACGTAATAAAAGGGAGTACACTGAGATGAAACAAGAGAGGAAGAAGTTCACACAGGGCTTTGAAAGCCATGGTAGGGCCTTAACTGTAATGGCAGTGGAAAGGCATTAGAGAATTTTAAGCTGGTGGGAGTAATGTGATCAGATTGGTCTTCAGAAGGAAAAGTCTCTCCACCTAAAGTATGAAGAATGGATTAGATTCATGGTAGAGGAGATAAGAAGAGCTAGTTAGGAGTACTAGTTAGTTTAAGTGAGAGGTAATTGTCTTTTGGGCTAGCAGGATGAGTCTGTAAGTAGAGAGTACAGGATGGATTGAGAAATATTTTGCTGATAAAATCAATAAGAACTGACGATCAATCGAGATGGGAAATGAGAAAGAGAAAAGTGGCTCATGCAATTGCATGTATGATAGCACCCTTCCCTGGAACAGAATAAATACACCGGAATAGAACCAAGTTTAGAGGAGGAGATCATGTCGTGAAGAGTTTGAAATGCCTTTGAGGTAGTCCAGTGGGGTATCAGGTACATACATAGCTATTCTGGGGTAGATAAATATTTGGAGATATCACTGTACAGATGGTGTTTGAAAACTAAGTTAAGAGCATAAAGTAGAAAAGTAGACTTAACTTTTCTGAGATTGATCCCTGCAGGTTGACTTCCTGGAGGGGAAGCTGTCTTCCTGAAAGCTCAGTGGAAAGTGGGTAGATAAATCTGAGTGATAAAGGTAGTCTATTCCAATAGAATATTGAGGTGTTGGATCAGGGTGTGGAAGGAGCAAAGGGTAATACAGAGGTAGGTGAAGTGGGATGGGGGGTTGACAGAAAGTTTTCTGTTTCCAAGTAATCAGATGATTGAGGATGTTTTAAATGCTCTGGTTGAAATTAATTGAATATTCCAGAGAAAAAGGCAAGTGTTAGTGCATTCAGGCTGCTATAACAAAATCCCAGAGAGTGGGTTATTTAAACAACAGACATTTATTTCTCACAGTCCTGGAGATAGGATAATCAATATCAGGGTGCCAGCATGGCCTGGTTCTGGTGACACCCTTCTCTAGGTTGCAGACTGCTGTTTTCTTGTACCCTCACATGGCAGAAAAAGCTAGAGAGCTCTCTGAAGTCTTTTCATAAGGGCACTAATCCCATTTTTGAGGCATCATCCTTATGACTTAATCATGTCCCAAAGACCCCACTTCCTAATGCCACCACTTCAGGGGATAGAAATTCCACATATGAATTTTGGAGGGACACAAACATTTGGTTCATAATAAGGAATAATCAGTGCAGGAATAAAGGAATAAAGCGCAGGAAGCTTTGTAAATATATTAAATAAGTAAGTAAATAAATAAATGAGAACTGCTTCAACAATAAGAAAATCATTCAATAAATCGTGGTATGTTTACACAATGCAATGTTTTGCGGCCATTAAAAATGGTGAGTATGAAGGGCATCTGGGTGGCTCCGTCGGTTGAGCATCCAACTTCTGCTCAGGTCATGATCTCACAGTCCGTGAGTTCGAGCCCCAAATTAAGCTCGCTGCAGTCAGGGCAGAGCCCAGTTTAGATCTTCTGTCCCCCTCTCTCTCTCTCTGCCCCTTCCCTGCTTGTGCTCTCTCTCAAAAATAAATAAATCTTTTTAAAAAATGGTGCGTATGAGAAAAGGATAGCATTGATCCCAAGTTAAGGTGGGAGGGGGGCTATGGGATGGAAGTCTAAGTGACAAGGGCCAGAGATCACAGGGAGACTTATCACTGTATATATACCCTTGTAAATCTTTTTAATTTTGACCTCTATGAATTCTTTTTTTTTAAGTTTATTTATTTATTTTGAGAGAGAAAGAGATAGCACAGCGGAGGGGCAGAAGGAGAGGGAGAGAGAATCCAAAGCAGGCTCCATGCTCAGTGCTGAGCCTGACTTGGGGATCCATCTCACAACTACGAGATCATGACCTGAGCTGAAGTCAAGAGTTACATGATTAACTGACTGACCCACCCAGGTGCCCCATGACAATTCTTATAACAAGAATAAAAATCTCATTTAAAAAAATGTTTATTTATTTACTTTGAGAAACAGAGAGAGCAGGGAGGAAGAGAAAGAATCCCAAGCAGTTTCCGTGCTGTCTGCACAGAGACCGGTGCAGGGCTCACTCATGAATTAGATCATGAACTGAGCTGAAACCAAGAATTGGATGCTTAACCGACTAAGCCATCCAGGTGCCCCTATGACTTCATTTCTTATTCAACACTGTGAAAATAAATTCTTATTCAACACTGTGAAAATAAACAAGTGAATAATTTAAAACAATAAGAAACAACGATATATACAAAAAGTATTAATAGAGTGGGCACTGTGGTTGCCCCAAAAGCTTTCAGTTTCCCCATTCTTTTATGATAATCCTTATTTAACTTCTTTTCCAAAGTAGAGGATTTTTAAATTTTTATTAAGGAATATAATTTTACAAAAAAATAAGGAAAATAGCAAAATAAAACCTAATATACTCATCATCCAACCAATCTTGTTTTGTCAATGTTCTCATTTTTACTCCCCTACCTTCACTCTGGATTACGTTTTTTTCCCCCTCTATGGGATTTTTGTTGGTGGGTGGGGGTGGACCTGGGTATCATCAAGTCCTGGGCACAGGAGCAGGGGTATGGGAAATTTTGGAGCACCCTCCTAGGGCACAGCCACAGAGGAGAGGGGCAGGCGGCTCTCATTGTATTCAGGAGAAAGTAATTTTGAGCCTCTCCTTCCCTTTGTTGAAAGTCTTGGAAAACCAGTTCTGGGTCTTTGCAGGAATGTCGCTCTGCTTGATGCTCTCAATGGCTGCCCAGGGCCTTGTCCTTCAGAGCTTTACCAAACTCCTTCAGCTTATCCAGGATGAGCTCCAAAGTGCTGGAGATTTGTGGGGCTGCCTGGGCCAGGGCTAGGCCTTCCAAAACCAAAGACAGAACCACCACCCAAACCGGGAGTGACAGGATGAGACTCATGGCTGGGCTGGAGGGGCACACTGGATCAGCCACAGGACAGCATGGGGTCACACTGGATTACTTTAATGTACATTTCAGACATCCTAGCATTTTATCTGTAAACATTTCTCATGTATCTTTAACAGATAAGGGCTCCAAAGAATAATTATACTACTATTATTATATATAAAATATTTGCCAAAATACATTGATACTGTCAAATATCCAGACAATGTTCAAATTTTCTCAACTGTCTTAGACATACCTTTTTAACTGAATTTTAGTTGACATACAATGTTATATTAGTTTCAGGTGCACAACATAGTGATCTGATAATTCTACACATTACCCAATGCTTGCCACTGATAAGTACAGTTACCATCTGTCACCATACAAATTTATTACAATATTATTGACTATATTCCCTATGCCATACTTTTCATCCCTGTGACTGATTTTATAACTGGAAATTTGTAAATCTTAATCCCTTTCTCCTATGTTATCCACCCTCCACCCTCCCCTCCACTCTGGCAACCACCAGTTAGTTCTTTGTAGTTATGAGTGTGCTTTCATTTTACTTGTTTGTTCATTTGTTTTGTTTTGTTTTCTAGATTCCATATATAAGTGAAATCATATGGTATTTGTTTTTCTGTCTGACTTATTTCACTTAGCATAAAACTCTCTGGGTCCATGTTGTCATGAATGGCAAGACTTCACTCATTTTTATGGCTGAGTGATATTCCATTGTATATAGATAGATAGATATCTTAGACATTTTTAACAATTGGTTTATTTGAATTAGCATCCAAATAATGCTCACATATCATATTTTGTTGATATGGCTCAAAAGTCTCTTTTATTCTATAGGATCCTCTTCTTCTTCTTCTTTTTCTTTTTCCTGAACACTTATTTATAATTTATAATTTCATTCAGGTGTCCATACTTCTGCACAGCCATGTGCTGACTCCATCCCTGAGTCAAGGGACATGTGGCTCAGGTGTAATCTCATCCCAGGCCACTATTGATAGTCAATAGTTCATAATTCAGACCAATGAAAAATGAGCTACCGAGAATTGTCAGGAAAGAAACTTCTCCACTTTTCTAAGGAAGCCTCCAGAATTCAAGCACTCGTGCATGCTCTCTCCACACCCCAGCCCCCTTCTCTTTCTCTATTATCATATTTATGGCAAAATATTCCTCTTAAGATCAGGAATAAGGCAAGAATGTTTGTTTTCATCACTTCTTTTCATTATACTAGAATCCTAATCAGCGAAAACAGTATTGGAGTAATTTGATACTCATTTGGAGAAAAAAAAGAAACCCAATCTCTATGTCACATCATAGACAATGATGTGACACATCAATCTGGGGAGGATCATAAACCTGCACACAAGAGCTAAAACTATGAAGCTTCTGCAAGAAAATATAGGAGACTATTTTCATGACCTTGGACAAGGCAAAAACTTCTTATATAGGACATATAGGACATTGAAAGCAAAAAAGCATAAAAAATATTCGATGCTAGTCTTCAATATTAAAAACTTAAGCTCATCAAAAGATACCATTATGAAAATGAAAATTTTCCATGGGAAAGAATACTTACAAAGCATATATCTCATAAAGAATTTCTTTCTTTCTTTTTTTTTTAAGTAAGCTCTGTGCCCAATGTAGGCCTCAAATTCACAATCCCAAGATCCCCAAGATGTCAAGATCTCAGGCCACCCCACATAAAGAATTTCTATATGGAAAAACTCCTACCATTTAAAATACAACCCAGGGGGATGCCTGGCTGGCTCAGTCAGGATAGCATTTGACTCTTGATCTCAGGTTGTCAGTTCAAGCTCCACGTTGGGTGTAGAGCTTACTTAAAAACATTTTTTTTAAATAAATAGAAGACGACCTGGTAAATTGAAGATGTTTGTGCTATAATACTCTCAGAAAATATACATCATCCATGGAATAGAAAGACATTCTAACATCTCTTATGACACATAAAGCTAGTGACTTTTAACAAAGCAAGAGGCTTCTTCTCTAAGACTAAAATGAAATAATATGGGGATAAGGTATTAGATGCTCTCCTTTCCAGATGACACTCATCCTTAATATATGGGGGAGAATTAGTCCTGGAAAACCCCAGCTGTATGTAGTAAAATAATTTTTTTGAGTCCCGAGATAACACACTACAAATATTAAAAAACATGTACATTAAAAATTCATACCTAACTCTATGAATTCATAGCACAATAGATACCATTCTCTTCCCACATATCATCCATGGGAAGTACATGCCAACATCAGCTATTCCTCATGGATATAAATTGCGAGGTACTAGAACATTCTTGGGAGTAGATTATTGAGAGCATGCATGACATTTAGGATTAAAAATGTATTTGCTCTTGGGGGAGGTGTAAATTATGGGATTTCCACAAATCATATAAATTGTGATTGTGTAAAGCAGGAGATTTTGGCTACGACTAAAATAATTTTTCAGTTTAAAACCTTCATAAAACTGTTACAAAAATTTCAAGGTTTATGCTAATATTAAAAGCAGTGCTATGTCTCCCAATGTGAGGCATTAGGATCTAACGGACAATGTCCAAAATGAGACTCATAGTGAGAATTTAAATTTTTTAAGCCTTTAAAGCATTTGCAGAAGTCTCTGAATTTCATGATAAATGAAATTGAAATCAATAGCCCTAGAAAGAATTTTCTGAATTTCATAGTAAGTTTAATGAGCTCAGTGATCACTTGAGAGCATGAAAGATCATGTTTCCTACCAAAAAATAATAGTGTACAGAAAACCAGTATCATTGAACCTGTGTATATTTGAAACCATTTTACATGTATTGTTTTTTCCACTTCAGTAAAATTCTGCCTTTTTTAAAAAAAATTTTTTTTTCAACGTTTATTTATTTTTGGGACAGAGAGAGACAGAGCATGAACGGGGGACGGGCAGAGAGAGAGGGAGACACAGAATCGGAAACAGGCTCCAGGCTCTGAGCCATCAGGCCAGAGCCTGACGTGGGGCTCGAACTCCTGGACCGCGAGATCGTGACCTGGCTGAAGTCGGACGCTTAACCGACTGTGCCACCCAGGCGCCCCTTGCCTTTTTAAACCATACAGTTTGGGGTAGATAAAAGATTTTTCTGAATTCATTTCATCATCAGTAACTTAGTCCCAAATTCAATGTAAACAAATATTTACGTGCAAGGTGCAAGGTGGATATACAATAAAGAATAAGCCTTTTTCATTTTACTCTCAAGGAGTTCAACTTCTGGAAAGAATGTTCTGTCATGTAGAAATATGATAGTAACACATGGCAAACTGTGGAGAGCTCTTCACATTGTGTCAAAATTCTGGAGACATGAGGGGGAGAATCATTACCTCATAGTAGGGAAGGAGTGGAATCAAGGAAATGTTCATGCCTGAAAGGAGGTCACATTAATACACAAGGAATAGAAATAAGCAGGACAATCTGATTAACAACAAATAATAACAGCTGATAATTGTTGAGCATTAATCGCTGATTTAGCTGAGGCTTACGGGCAATTGGAGAATTAAGGCTAACATATGTTAGTCAGATTTTAGTTAGCCTTGATAGTGGGTGTGGGAGCTAGAGGCCAGTTCTATGAGCAGTGAGAAACGATATAATTAGATAGTAGAAGAGAGTGGCAACAGCTGAATGAGTTAAGAGACCCTACAATTATATAGGCGAGTGGAAACAAAGGACCATATTAAGGTGGTAGTGAAGGAAAAAGATGGATTTGGACCGCCATGGATTGACAAGAGGCAGAACCGAGATCAGCAAGAGTTAAAGATGACTCCAAAGTTAGTGGTGGTCAGGAGTAAGTTCTTTTGAGGGAGAAAATCTTGTTCAAGAGTTAAAACTGGGGCACTTGGCCAGCTCAGTCGGTAGTAGCCTGTGTGACTCTGGATCTCAGAGTTGTAAGTTTGAGCCCCATGTTGGGTGTATAGATTACTTAAAATAAAATCTTTTTTTTAACTTTTTTTTTAACGTTTATTTATTTTTGAGACAGAGAGAGACAGAGCACGAACAGGGGAGGGGCAGAGAGAGAGGGAGACACAGAATCAGAAGCAGGCTCCAGGCTCTGAGCCATCAGCCCAGAGCCCGACACGGGGCTCGAACCCACGGACCGTGAGATCGTGACCTGAGCTGAAGTTGGAGGCTTAACCGACTGAGCCACCCAGGCGCCCCTAAAATAAAATCTTTAAAAAAAAAGTTGTTAAAACTCTCTTACTATTTATATGCACATGCTGTGTCCTAACTCCAAATCATTAGACTGCAGAATCTAAAGAGCTTTATCAAGGCTTGAGTCTGGAATATGGGATGATCTTACGCTAGACACATTTAATGAATGCATCTGTCATTTAAGTTCCACATTCATATCAGTTGTGTTTAATTTACATAAAGTCACCTTAAATCACCATGAAGAAGAATTGGTTTGTTCAGCATTTCTTCAAGGCAAATCATGGAGTGAAAAGGTAAAAACTCTAATATGCCAGAGTAGACTGGTTGAAGACCGGAAATGGAGACATTCTAGTGCTGGCAATAATACCAGAAAACTGTGATTCATTCAAACTGTATGGTTTCAAGTTTCTTTATCTGCAAACTGAGATTTATTAATCAGGACTTTTTCAGTTTCAAATGGCAGAAATGTGACTTCAGCCAGCTTATATGTTAAATAAAGAATTTATTAATACAATAGGATTATTGTATTGTGGACGGCCAGAGGAGGAAGCACCATTAGCACTTTCTCTGATCCCTATCCGGTTTATCTTTCTAAAGAACAACCTGAAACATATCACTTTCCACCTCAGAATCTATGTAGTTTTCTCCACTTTCCATAATTTGAAGTCTAAACTCCTAAGCATGGTGTTCAAAACCTGACGGAGTCCGTTCTCAAACAGCCTTTTCAGGGTTCTTTTAATAATTGCCTGCATGTATTGAGCCCTGACTGCAACCAGAATTTGTCCTAAAGGGAAACAAGCTGGGATTAGAA